GTTGTTTTTCCCTCTAATGAGGCACTAACATGAAGACAGTTGGGAGTTTCCTGGAGGAATGTTACATTTCTCTTATCACACGTCCTTGTCAATGGGCTTCAGGTTCAAAAGAAATTCAGTTTTATTTACATTTCCTTCCGCCTCCGCCTCCCTTAATTTTATGGAGGGGTGGGTGATGTTAGGGCTTCAGGAAACTAAGTTATGGGTCTCTGGAAGTTAGGTTATTGATAAGAAAGCTTCTTCCTCATAAACCACTAGGACGTTTGTAAACTGAGGGAGACTCCTGTCCTGCAGGACTGTGATCTCTATCAGTTAACCATTCATTTTTCCTTTAGGGCAGCCAGGAGTGCCTGAGGAATGTCACATATATCCCAAAGGGGGGGGGGGGGGGGGGGGGGGGGGGGGGGGGCGTGTAGGTGTCAGCTTCTGCTTTGTCCTCAGCTTGCCTTCTGTTCCCTCATCACCATTACCACTCATGATGTGCTGTGTGACCCTGGATGCCTCCCCTCACCCCTCTGAGCCTTAGGAAGTAGGTGGATCAGGCAAAATGTTCAACTTTGCTATTCCAGAGTCTAAGTTCTCCTGCGAAGTAGTTCTTCTGAATAATTCAACTTAAATCCCTCCTGTTGCCTCCCTCCCAGCCCGCATCTTTTCAACTAAAAATTCTAAGTATGTCAACGTCTGTGGTTTTTTAAAATGTGGGTTTTTTTTTTTTAATTTAAAAAGGTATAGAGTGAGAGAAGGGAATAGGGATGAGTGTTTCGTGACTACAGAGTTTCAGATTGGCGAGATGAAGAATTCAGTGGGTGGTGGTGACAGCAGTCTAATAACCGCATGTCCTTCATCCTGCTGAACTCCGTGCTATAAAGTGAAGACGGCAGTAAATTGTATGTTATCTGTATTTGAAAGAAGTGCCCATAATGAGAGCTGGGGGAAAAAAAAAAAGAAAAGAGGGAAGAGGCATGGTGGAATTATACAGATTATAGAATTTCCAGTTTAAAAAAAAAAGTTTAGAGTGGAAAAATTCTCCTGTAATGCCGTTCTCCAAAGAGGTAACCACCTTTTTTTTTTTTTTCCAGTTTATGGGAGATCTACCCACAGTTTCTTTTGGAAGAGGTGCATACGAATATATATATATTTTAAGATCTATTTATTTATTTGACAGAGAGACACAGCGAGAGAGGGAACACAAGCAGGGGGAGCAGTAGAGGGAGAGGGAGAAGCAGGCTTCCCACCGAGCAGGGAGCCCGATGTGGGGCTCGATTCCAGGACCCTGGGATCGTGACCTGAGCCAAAGGCAGATGCTTAATGACTGAGCCACCCAGGCGCCCCCGAATATATATTTTTATTTCCCCTTTTTTTTCTATAAAAGCAGCATACTATATCCACTGTTTCAAGCTATGCTTTTTTTCACCTTAATACATCCTGGGGATTATTCTCGATTGGTACATAAATTGTGTCCCTGTTCTTTTTCTTTTTTTTGAGGTACTGTTTTGTTTTTATGGTGCTAAAATATACCAACATAAAATTAAAATAATCTAATTATAAAATAAATCTTAAGTGTTTATTGCAGGGGCCTCAGATACCTTTACAATGCTGGGCAACCATCACCACTATCCATTCCCAGGACTCTTGATCATTCCAAATGAAACTCTGTGCCCATTAAACACTCACACCTCCCCTCCCCACTTCCTCCCCAGCTCCCAGTAACCTCTTGCCCACTTTCTAGAAACATGAATTTGCCTGTTCTAGAAACCTCACATAAGAGGAATCACGCACTGTCTTTTTGTGTCTGGCTTCTTCACTGAGCATCACGTTTTCAAGGCCCACCAATGCTGTGTCAGAGCGTCATCACTTTTGGAGGCTGAGTAATATTCTCTCACACGCGGGGCACACTGGCTTGTCCACTCCTGCTGGTGGACGCTCAGGCCACTCCCACCTGTTGGCTCCTGTGAACAGGGCTGCGTTGCCCATGGCTACGCAAGCACACCCTGCTCCCTGAGCAGCCACCCAGCGGGCCATGGCTCGATGCCCCCGTTCTGTACCCACCGCACTGATAAGCATCAGCCCGCCTATGCCCCACGGTCTTTTGCTACCTCAGCAGCACTGCAGTAAAGGTTGGTGCAAACATCCTTTTGCCCATGGGAAGACAGATCTTCCATAGTGAGGAAGGAAGCAGGGAACAGGACCTGAGCCCGCCTCTCCCTTGCCCTAAACACAGCCTCATCTACCTCCCACAGGCTGTGAACGCTGCCAAGTACGGGGTCGCTGGGGTGTTGGTATACACGGACCCCGCAGACATCAACGATGGGCAGAGCTCCGCCAATGAGACCTTCCCAAACTCCTGGCACCTGCCTCCGTCTGGGGTGGAGCGAGGCTCCTACTTTGAGTATTTTGGGGATCCCCTGACTCCCTACCTTCCAGCCAATCCCTCTTCCTTCCGCCTGGACCCTGATGCTGCCCCTGGATTTCCTCCAATTCCCACTCAACCCATTGGCTTCGATGATGCAAAAATCCTTCTCTGGTAAGCTCTGGTGCCCCTGGGGCCCCCTGCCCACCCTCCAGTGGCTCCCAACCTTCAATCCCCACACCCTTCACCTCCTTCCCAGTAACCTCCAGGGAACTGTGGCCCCGGCTGCCTGGCAGGGAGCACTGGGTTGTGACTACAAGTTGGGGCCTGGCTTCCGGTCTGATGGTGACTTCCCAGCAGACAGGTGAGGCGGGGCCCTTCCTCCTGAAGGCTCCTCTCCTCTTCCCTTGTTATGCTTCCCTGCCCACCTCAAGGCCTAGCCTTTCCCTTTCTTCTCTCTCCCAACCTTCCCCTGACTCCAGAATACCTGTCCTGTCTTCGGGGAAGCCAATGAAACAGCTGCGTGGCCCACAAGGCCCTGCGGAGCTTCACCCCCACTTCACCTCTGACTTCCACGTTCCAGCCACCCCCTCCTTTGAACACACCAAGCTCATTCCCAAACCAAAACCTCCGCACTTGCTGTTCCATCTGCCTGAAACACCCTTCCCCACACTCCTGCCATTCCTAGCCAGCACCAGCCTCCCCACCTGCCACCCGGTAACCTCTCACAGGTGGACCTGTTAGTGTCCTCCCCACCCTGCTTCACCCCTGCATTTGCTCAGTTCCTCAGGCTGTGTCTTTTTTTTTTTAATTTTTTATTGTTATGTTAATCACCATACGTTACATCATTAGTTTTCAGGCTAGATTTTCAGGCTTTGTCTTGCTCAGGGGAGGGAGGTCCCACAAGGGCAGGGCTGTGTCTGTCCCAGTCACTGCCCAGTGCCCGCATACGCTAAGTATCCAATAAGTACTTAACTGAGTGAGTCCATGAAAAGAACTGGAATTAGAAGAGTGGGCCTTGCTTCCTCTTTTTTTTTTTTTTTCTGGTGAATAGAGGACATTTACTATTTCTGTGCTGCTCAAACAGAACACGGGAGGGGAAGTACATAGGGGAGGGGGCCGAGGGCCCCCTGCCTCTCAGGAGGACTGGCTTGTGCAGGGGTGTTTGCGGGGGAGGTTCTTGGAAAATTGTTCATGGAGTCTTCTCAGCAAAGGGGCCTGGCCTGGGGTATCACATGAGCATCCAACACGCCCAATCCTTGCCCTAAGTTGGGGTCCCCCATTGGGGGTCTGGGACTCTCACCTTTTTCCCAGCTCCTTTGCTGGAATCCGCACTCCCAGCGTGATGGGGGACTTGGTCCTAGAGAGGGGTCTGGAGAGCATCCAGGAAGCAGTCCAGGGTTGGGACGAGGGCTCAGGGCCTAGGGAATGAGAACCCCTAGGGCTGTGCACCTTCTTTCCCTCTGCCCTCGTTCCTTCCTCCAGGTTGGCCAAGAGTAGAGTGGGGGTTACCAGGGCCCCCAGCCTCTACTGAGTCCCAGGGTCCTCAGGGTGGGGTGGAAGAAGGGTGGAGACAGGGTCTGGGCCACCAACTGACACTGTAAACTTTAGTTTAAAACTGTAACTTAAGGGATGCCTGGGTCTTTGCTCAGTGGGGAGCCTGCTTCTCCCTCTGCCAGCTGTTGGGCTCTCTCTCTCTCTCTCTCTCTGACAAAATCTTAAAAAAAACAAAAAACACCTATAACTTAAGTGGAAGGAGGGCTTCCAGCCTGGGGCCAGGGTGGAGAGCGGGGAGGAGGAGGAGGAGGAGGCGGAGGAGCAGAGGGTATGAGAGGTGGCAGAGGAAAAAGCCAACAAAAAGCTTTGGTCTTTGGATTAACCATGGGCGGGGGGGCGGGGGCAGGGAAGGGTGCTGAGGGAGGGCCTTGCTGCCTCCCCAGTTACCTGTGGGCCAGAGACGTGGTGGTGTCCCTTTGTCTCTCTGGGCCTCAGTTTCCCCTGCATTGGGTTGGGAGGGGGCGTGGGCAGGGCCAAGACTCTGGTCACCCCCTTGGCTCCCCAAGCCAGGTGAACGTGAGTGTCCACAACCGCCTGGAGCTGCGGAACTCCTCCAACGTCCTGGGGATCATCCGCGGCGCGGTGGAGCCAGGTGAGCACCCCCTCAGGCCTCCCTGAGCCCCTAGGGCCGTGCCCCGCCCCGAGCACCCTCTGACCACGCCCCCCGCGCCCCGCCTGGCTGGCCCCGCCCACACTCCCTCCCCCCTGGTTTCTGAGTCTCTGCTCCTCTCGCCAGACCGTTACGTGCTGTACGGAAACCACAGGGACAGCTGGGTACACGGGGCCGTGGACCCCAGCAGTGGCACGGCCGTCCTCCTGGAGCTCTCCCGAGTCCTGGGGACCTTGCTGAAGAAGGGTGAGGCGGCCCCGGTCCCTGGTCTACGAGCTGTCCCAGCAGGGACACCTCCCTGAGCTCGCGGGAGTCCTGTCCCAGCTCCTCTGTCTCATGCTCCGGTGCCCACTTGTGCCAAGCCCGAGGGCCCTGGGGGCCGACCTGCATGGACGCCAGCCCTGGCCTCACTCAAGTCGCCCCGTGGGGTATGGGGACTCGTGCAGTGGCTTCCGAGAGCCTCCGTGCCCCTTGCAGTGGAGGGAGGCCGGGCGCCGCCGGGAGCAAGGCGGTGCCCAGGCTCTGCCTTCGGGGAGCTTCGGCCCAGTTCAGGCAGGGATGACAGACAGTCGTTAACTGAACAAATACGTCCCGTGTGCCTACTGCGTGCCAGGCCAGTTCTAGGCACAGCAGACCCCCACAGTGAACACCCGAGTTGCTGCATGCAGAGACAACCGGGGTCTGCGCTATAAGGAGGAATATCTAAGGGGCTTTCTGGGCACAAGCCCGAGCTCAGGAAGGCCTCCCTGTGGAGCTGGCAGTTTGGGGTGGGGTGGGGGATCCAGGTGGAGGGCACAGCATGTGGAAAGGAGGGCCTGGACCAGGTGACAGCCCAGCTGGGGAGTTTGGAGTTTAGTCTGAGGTTGGCAGGAAGATGGTATGGGATTTTATTTTATTTTTTTTAAGTTTATTATTTTTTTTAATTTATTTATTTGGGGGGGGCACAAGTGGGGGAGGGGAGAAGCAGGTTCAGAGCTGAGCAGGGAGCCGGCTGTGGGGCTCGATCCCAGGATCCTAAGATCATGACCTGAGCCGAAGGCAGACGCCCAAATGACCGAGCCACCCAGGCGCCCTCTAACCATTTTTGAGTGTACAATTCAGTGGCATTAAGTATATTCAGTGTTGTGCACCCATCACCCATCACCACCATCCATCTCTAGAACTTTTTCATCTTTCAGTACATACAACATCCTAAAGTTATAGCTATATAATTTGAATTGATACCAACTTAATCTCATACAAAAGCTCTACTCCTATAAAGCTCTGTCCTTCCCCTTTATGGTACTGATGTCACAGATTACATCTTTGTACATGTGTCCCCATTCACATATTGATTTTGAGGTGCCTAAGAGACCTTCCTGGGGAGAGGGCAAGCAGGCAGTTGAAGGTGCTGATCTCCAAGGTCAGAAAAGAGACTCCAGAGGTAAACTGAGTTGCTGAAATCAACAAGTAAATCCACGGGTGTGGTTGAGATCAACTGATAGCAGAGTGGGGCAAGCTTGTGGAAAGAGGCTGGGAGTGTGGCTTTACCCCCCTTGGTAGTATAGGAATTTCTGTCTCTGTTGTTCAGGTGTTTTATTTTGAAATAATTTCAGAATACATGAGGCTTGCCAAAATAGTACAAAGGAGCCTTGGACACAGTTCACCCAAATACTCCTTATTAAGATTTTACCATGTTGGCTCTTTCTCTCTATATTGTTTTCTGGAGTGTTTGAAAGTTGCAGAAATGCTGCACCTTTACCCATAAACATATCACTGTGTATTTCCTAAAAATAAGAACATTTTCTTTCACAGCCACAGTATAATGATCAAAATCGGGAAATGAACAATGTTGATGATGATGTTATGATGACCTTTAGAGCAAAGAAATTTCTGACCCAAGGGTCAATGCAGGATCACACATTGCATTTGTGGTAGCTCCTTAGTTCTTGTCTTTTTTTTTTAAATAATTTTTTATTGTTATGTTAATCACCATACATTACATCATTAGTTTTTTTTTTTGTTTTTTTTTTACATCATTAGTTTTTGATGTAGTGTTCCATGATTCATTGTTTGTGCATAACACCCAGTGCTCCACGCAGAATGTGCCCTCTTTAATACCCATCACCAGGCTAACCCATCCCCCCACCCCTAGTTCTTGTCTTTTATGATCTTGATGTTATTTTGTTGAGTGTCCCTCAATTTGGATTTGTCTGATTAGATTCAGGTTATGCATTTGGGGCAGGAAAGAGTGTGAGAATTTGTCATGGCAAGCATATAATCCTTTTATACTTTTACAATTTTCATTTAAAACAGAAGTTGAGGGGGCACCTGGGTGGCTCAGTCGGTTAAGCGTTGGACTCTTGATCTCAGCTCAGGTCTTGATCTCAGGGTCCTGAGTTCAAGCCCCAAGTTGGGCTCCACGTTGGGCTCCACGCTGAGCTTGGAGCCTACTTAAAAAGATAAAATTAAAGCAAAAATCTGAGAAATGATCAAAGGGTACTGAGTTGGAGCTCAAGAGGGGAGCACAACCAGGAACATGTGGTGCTGTAGGCTGCCAGAGGCTGTGGGAGGTGGTGTGGCCAATTCCTTAAGCCCCTGGACTCTGGAGCCGGACCCTGGCCTTGAACCCTGGCTCTATGCCTACCAGCTGTGTAACCCTGGGCAAGTCATTTAACTTTTGTGCGGCTCAGTTTCATCTGTGAAATGGAGACAATAAGGCTCTTATCCCTCAAAGCGTTGTTGTAGGACTGACTCAATATGGCTAACGCCCTAAGGAGAACTTCACTGTATTATCACCAAGCGGAGAAAGTTGCCGGAGAGTTTGGCATGGGATGCGCGAAGGAGACAGCTGGGGATGGAGGGCCGGGTGGTCTACTCAAAGCATACCTGTAAGGAAGGGGGAGGCAGGGCATTCTGGCAGAAGGGACCACCTGAGATCGGTATAGAGGGCAATGTTGGGGCGGGGTCCCAGCACGGGGGTAGGCTGGGAAAGGAGGACCGCGCCTCGCCTCGGAGAAGGCTGGGCTAGAGAGGCAGCAGGACCTACCTCCTGTCACTGGCTGCCCCACCCGGACCGGCCCTTCCTGTTCTCCACGTCCCTGGCATCTCCCCCAAGCCACCCCGAGATCCGGGCACCGTGTCCTCCAGCCCTTTATCCCCCTCCCCAGGCACCTGGCGTCCCCGCAGATCAATAGTGTTTGCGAGCTGGGGGGCAGAGGAGTTTGGGCTCATTGGCTCCACAGAATTCACCGAGGTGAGTGAGCCCTGAGAAGCGGGTGGTGAAGGGGTTCCCGAGGCGGGGCCTGGCTGGGCTCACCTCGGCCCCCCTTCCCGCAGGAATTCTTCAGCAAGCTGCAGGAGCGCACCGTGGCCTACATCAATGTGGACATCTCGGTGTTTGGTACGGGGCGGGGAGGGCGGGGGGGGGGCCCGGCTGGGCTGACTGGGGGGAGGAGAAACGAAGGGGCGGCGGCCCGAATACTTTCTCTGGTCTTCCCACAGCCAATGCCACTTTGAGGGCGCAAGGGACGCCTCCGGTCCAGGGCGTCATCTTCGCTGCAGCCAAACAGGTGAAAGGGGGCGGGATGGGCGGGGTTGGAGCTGGTCCTTGTTGCAGGGGCTTGGCGGTGGGACTGAGGCCGGGGTGGAGCGGGCGGGGGGGGGGGGGGGCAGGACTTGTAGGACCCGCAGGCCTGTGCTTAGGATGGAGACTCCGGTGGGCCCGGCGGAGGACTGCCTGTTGGGCCTGGGGAGGGGCCAGCCCCAGACTAGATTCCTCTTCCGGTCAGATCCCTGCACCAAGCCCGGTTGGCCTCAGCATCTACGACAACTGAATCCGGTATTCCAACCGTAGCAGCCCAGCCTACGGCCTGGTCCCCAGGTGAGCCCAGGGCCAGGACAGGGGACCGGGGAGGGTGGGCTGGCCCAGCGCCCTCCGGCCCAACCACCTGTGTTTTTGCAGCCTGGGCTCTCTGGGCGCCGGCAGCGACTATGCTCCATTCATTCACTTCCTGGGCATCTCCTCCATGGACATCGCTTACACCTATGACCGGGTGAGTGGTACCCCTCTGTCCCCCAGCTAGGTACGTTGCTCCCCCATCCCCTTCCTCTCTTAGAGCCTCTCTAGTGCAGACTGAGTCTGGCTTCACCACTCAGTAGCTGTACTCCCTCCACCAAGTTTCTTAACCTCCCTGAGCATCTGTTTATGCTCGCCTATGTTTTTTATCAAATTTAAGATACTACTGATTTTAAGATGCAACATTGTGATATGCAATATTGAAGGGGGGCGACATACTGCCAGTTGGTTGTAGGATGACATTGACTTAAAAAGCATCCTGGGGCGCCTGGCTGGCTTGAGGCATGGAGCATGCAACTCTTGATCTTGGGGTCATGAGTTCAAGCCACACGTTGGATGTAGAGATTACTTGAAAAAAAAAAAAAAATCTTAAAACAAAAGAGGCATTCTGATTCCAGAGATCTTAAAAAATGAAAACATGTTGACCCCAGAATAGATCAAATAACAGTATGAAACAGGGATGGATTCATAGCGTTGGTGTGCAGAGTGAAATGAGGTAGGGATGTGGAGGGCCCCAGCCTGTGTCTCCCTGCCTGACGCCCCAGAAAGCCCTTTCTGCCCTCATGGCCACCCGGCTCCTGGGTGGTGGAGCTGGGATTTGAACCCTCTCATCTGACTCTCCAGCCGCAGGCTCTTCTCCTGCGTGTGAAATGGGAAACCGGCAGCTGGCCCAGCTCTGCCGCTATTAGCTGTGAGGTCAGGCAGGCGACAGCCTCTCTGAGCGCCAGTGTCCTCCTCTGTAAAGGAGGAATTCTAGAACCTACCTCATGGCTGTAGCAATGATCTGAGCAGTGCCCCTGTGTTGTAGCTCACTGTTGGTACACCTCCCCCTCACTTCTCATCCCAAGCCTGTCACCTTGGCCTTGTTCCCCTAGAGCAAGACTTCAGCCAGGATCTACCCCACCTACCACACAGCCTTCGACACCTTTGGTTACGTGGACAAATTTGTGGACCCTGGTGAGGAGGGGGGCAAAGGGAATCCTGAGGCTGGGGGAGGATGGGCTGAAGACTGAGCCCTGGCCTGGTCACCTTGCCTGCAGGCTTCAGCAGCCACCAGGCCGTGGCCCGGACAGCAGGGAGCGTGCTGCTGAGGCTCAGTGACAGCCTCTTCCTTCCGCTGAATGTCAGTGACTATGGAGAGACCCTCCGAAGTTTTCTGCAGGCTGCCCAGCAGAACCTGGGGGGCCTGTTGGAGCAGCACAGCATCAGCCTGGGTATGGAGCCCCCTTGACATGGGAGGTATGGGGAGCCCTGCACCTCCAGGGCTAAGATGCTGGCTGTTCCCCACAGGGCCTCTGGTGACTGCAGTGGAGAAGTTTGAGGGGGCAGCTGCAGCCTTGGACCAGCACATATCAGCACTGCAGAAGGGCACCCCTGAGTGAGCAAGGGCAGCAAGCAGGTGTCTGGGAGGGCAGCATCCGGGGCAGAATGCAGGCTGGCAGCTGGGCTGCTGGTTCCAGGGTGACAAAGGTCCTGCCACTTCCAGCCCCCTGTAGGTCCGGATGCTCAACGACCAGCTGATGCTCTTGGAACGGACCTTCCTAAACCCGCGAGCCTTCCCAGAGGAACGCTACTACAGGTGAGCCTTGGGAAGTGCAGTGGGGTGAGGCTGGGCAATGGGCACCCATCTGAGGGAGGAGAATCTAAGAGTTTTGCTGGCCTTTAGAACACAACCCAGCCCCCTGAAACAGTTGGGGAATCAAGTTCAAAGGATGGGAGGCAAATCAGTCCAAGTCACCCTGGGACTGTAACCTACGTCCCTCACCACCACTGCTCTAAGGGCCCCAGCTTTCAAAGGCAGTGGGGAGGCGCTTTTGTGCCTTGCTATATACAGATGAGCCCGTTCCAGGCTGAAGCTCCTCTCTTTCCTGGTCCCCGAGTGACTTTGCTTCTCCCCTGTATCTCCCGTCAGCCATGTGCTCTGGGCACCCCGCACCGGCTCCGTGGCCACATTCCCCGGCCTGGCCAACGCCTGCTCCAGGGCCATGAACACAGGCCTTGGATCTGCAGCCTGGGCTGAAGTGCAGAGGCAGCTCAGCATCTTGGTGGTGGCCCTGGAGGGTGCAGCAGCCACCCTAAGGCCTGTGGCTGACCTCTGACCCCAGCTCCCCACCGTCCTTCAACCTAACCCGCTCCAATTGTTCTTGGGTGTGTCCCAGTCTTCCTTGATGCCAACCTGAGGCACCATCATGGGACCCTATTAAGCTTCTGAGACAACAGCTTAGGGTCCCACCAGTTGTGGACACCTGAGGGGAGTGAAGCCTTCCTCATTCTGGCTCTTGGTTGGCAAAGGGTGAAGCACAGGAGACAGGAGTGGTGGGGAGTGGTGCTCTTGGTGTGGGTGGGTAAGGATGGGATGCATAATGCCAACCAGAGCTACCCCTCAGGGACGAGCAGGGAAACTGAGGCCCAGTATGGGTATGGATAGTCTGAGTTGTTCTCCCTGTACACCCCTATCGGGTCTCAACTCCTCCCTGCTCTCCCCCAAATAAACCAAGCATAGTTATTATTCCTACAAAACCTTTTATTGTGTAGGAATTACGAAAAAAGAAACCTGAGTGCTTAGATCCAGTCCTGGGTTCTGGGAGAGTGCACGCCTTCTCCTCATGCTGGGGACTTGGGTCTGTCCACACCCTCATCTTCCTCCTCAGCCATGACCACCTCCTCCAGGGTGCGCCCTCCAAGTTTGCTCCCCACCAACACTTTGCAGGTCCCAGCAGGTGGCAGCCCTTCCTCAGTGTAGCGACCCCTGAGAAACACAACTCTTTCCTGTCCATCCAAGGGCAGTCCATGGGCCTGGCAGAGGTCCCGCGCCTCTTCGGGCCCATCCAGGGCCAGAAGGTGGACCATGAAGCCCAGAGGCAAGGTCTGGCCTTTGGGGGTGCTCAGGGCCCGAGCGAGGCGGGCCAGGGCTCCCCGGCGGGCACGGCCTACGTGGCACCGGACCGCGCAGCTCTGCAGGTAGGGCAGGATCCGGAGCAGGCGGAACAGGCGGGCGGTGTTGCCTTCGCGAAAGGCCGAGTCCACAGCCAGGGCCCTGCGCAGGGCGGGGCAGGAACGCAGGGCATTAGGTAGCTGCAGAACCTCATGAAGGGCCTCCATGGAGCCTGTGAGGGCGGAAGCCAGGGTGAGAACTCCTTGTCTTTCCCCTACCGGGCCACCTTCCATCCCATCTGCTTAGGCCTCCTCCCATCTCTTCTCCCAAAGGCTGGGGTCCTCAGCCAGGCCCACCTCTGGCCAACCACCAAGCCCATCTCCGACCTTGGCTCGCCTACCTTCCACTCTGGCCACGCCCCTCCCCTGGGCCAAGCTCACCTTCTCGCCCCGTTTTTCCTACCAGCCCCTTCCAGAGCCTTATCTAAATGAGTTGCCAGAGCCCCTTCAAACAGTCTGGATCCTCATAACAAAGTGAGGCATTGTTTTTGGATGAGGAGACAGGCCCAGAGAAGTTCACGACTTGCCTGAGACTGTCTTAAGAGTTCGAATGTAGTACAATTTGACACAACAAAATCCAAGTTTTCTGACTTCAAACCCACGGCCCTTTCTCCACTGCCCTAGCTGCTGCACAGATTAGGAAGTGGGCTCAGCTGTCAACCCAGTAAAGCCTTTTCTTCGAGGACATTCTGCTTCTGCTTCCCTTCCAGGAGAATCATGGACACTGGAACCTTGGGCCACTTTTGTAAACTGAGGCTTCTGACCCATTAGTGGGTTTTGAAACCAAGAGCATTTTATTACAATTAAATACAATAGAATTTGTTAGAATGCACCAGCCATCCATTGGAAGGATCTAATGTCTTGAAACTTCTGTGTCAGATATATTCTTGGCTGTTTTGCAACACTGAACAGAGAGTTAAAAAAAAGTTTGAAAATCACTAGGCCAATTTTTCCGTTCCAACCCCGTCCTCTCCACTTTTATTCCAAAAAAATAAAAACAAAAAATAAAAACAAAGACCCAAATAAGGGAAAGGACAGGCCAGAAGGCCCACGGGGCGGCGGGGGTGGGGGGCGGGTTCCGTGGATCTTGCGCATTGACTCGACACACATTTAGAAGGCAGGGATGGGGAGGGAGCTAATGGTGAGACTGTAAAGTTTCTCTTTCCTTCCCCGGCCTCCACTGTCCCCACGGAGGCACCGCCGCCGAGACCCCGACTCACCCAGGTTATAGAGCAGAAAGAGACCCTGGAAGGCGGCCTGGCGGGGATGCGGCCCGGCGCCCCGCCCGTAGCAGCGCCGCAGAGAACCGAAGCTCTCGTGCACCTGCGCCTGCAGCAGCACCGGGTCCGCTGGGCCGCGCGCCGCGTCCGGCCCCAGCCGCGCCACCACGGCCAGCAGCACCGCCAGCGCCGCCTCCAGCACCGCCGCCGCCTCGGCGTCGCCCGCGCCCTGCAGGGCCAGGTCCAGCCGCACGGCGCGCAACCGGTCCGCCACGAAGCTGGCCACCTCGGCGCAGGAGGCGTCGGCGCGCTCGGCCACCTCGCCGGCCAGGTAGCGCACGGTGGCCAGCAGCACGGACGGCGGACGCAGCTGGCTCGGCGGGGGCCGCGCCTTGCCGGCGGCCGGCCGTTTGTACTCCTTCACGGCGCGCTGTGGGTCCGCGCGGGGCGGGTCGCTGCGGCCCCCCGGTGCCACCTCGAAGCGGTGCAGCCGTCGCTCCTTTTCGCGCTCGGCGCGCTCGGCGGCCGGACACATGTCTGGGCAAGTGCCCACGGGCAGCTCGCAGCCGGCCATGGGGGCGCTGAGGGGAAAGGAGAAGCCCTCAACATCTCGGAGACGGTGGCGGCCACTCGCCCCGTTCTACACGAGGGCTGGCGGAGGCCGGCCGGGGCTCGGGCGCCGGGGCGGGCTGATCCCAGCCGGGCCCCGCCTACCCGCCTCCGCCGTCCTCTCACCGAGCCTCGTCAGCTCCCACAGAGCCTGGAGTTGGCCTCCCGAGACACACTGCGTTGTAGTTCAGCGCCGCCACTTCCGACTCAGACGCCGCCAAAGCTTCCAGGATGCACCGCGCCCAGCCCAGCCCACTCCCATGATGCACCAGTTTGTAGTCCGTCCCGCAACCAATCGCTTCGCCGGAGGGGCGGGGGAGCAATGGAGCCACGCCCGCCCAGGCTTCAGCCCACCGAACCCTGAACCCTCCTCGCTCTTAGCCTTTGGGCACCTTCCAAAATAGGTAACCCCAATTTGGGTTCCTCTTCATCATTCCCTTCACCCAATAACCTGGTTCAATCGGCCTCCTGCCATTCTCTACTCTCGTTTCCCCGGAGACTATTCTCCCCATTTTCTAGATCAGGGGTCAGCAGACCTTTTCTGCAAAGGGCAAGATAGTAAATGCTTTGGGATTTGAAGGTCGCAACCGGGCAACTCAGCAACTATTCAACTTTGCTGGTGTAGTGGGAAAGCAGCCAAAGACAATATTAAGTGAATGAGTCTGATTGTGTTCCAACAGAATTTTATTTTTAATACTTATATTTCATGTAATTTTCATCTGTCACAGAATGCTATTCTTTTGGTTTTTCTTCAACTATTAAAAAATGTAAAAACCATTCTAGCTCATGGGACTTACAAAAAAAGGCCGTGGGCAAGATGTGGCTGCAGGCCATGGTTTGCAGACCCCTGTTCTAGATGGGTAAACAGCCAGTTCAGGACCAGGGATGCTGGCCACGCAAGACAGACAGGCAGGATCAGCTTAAGTGTTTTGTCCTAATTCCAAAGTGGCACGTGTGGTCAAGGAGCTCTGAATTCATTATTTGTCTCATTCTTGGTCCAGTTACATAAAGAAATGACCCCTAGTGTTACAAGACCAGGATATCAGGCCAGGCCCTAGGGAGAGCTGGCAGTGCTGGAGCTCCAGTCCTGGGCAGGGGTTCACTCCCTCTCAGGAGGGGGGCTGGGACAGGTGCAGGTGCAAGATTTCTTCTGCTCTCTTCAGGTACTCGGCTGCCTTCTTTTTCACACCCTCCCGGCGGGCAGGTGACGGGTCACCTGTGGAGAGAGAATGGCTCAGCTGAGATCCCTGGGTTCAAAACCCCTGGGCTAGCCCCCTATGGTTCACAGAACATCAACATGTGTCTTTCCCTACCTCCCTGGGAATCAGGTCTATTCTCCCCATTTTACAAATAAGAAAACTGAGGCCACAAGAGGTAAAGAAACTGCCCAAGGTTGCACAGCTTGTCAGTGAGGACCAATTCTGATCCTTGACTTGTCTTTCACTTTCCCTTCCCTTCACTCCACCGTCTGAGACTCTAGGCCTAACCTTCCACCTTCCGGTCGTACTCACCAGGAACGCCCTGTAGCAGGATGTGCACGCCGTCCCGATAGCCCTGCAGAGCTGCAGGGTAGGCACCTGCCTTCTCCTCCCGCAGAGCCTGGGTGATGAGCTCTGTGGCTTGGCTCAGATAGGCAGGGGCCGGCCGGCCTTCCTCACGTTCATCCTCCTCCGGTCCTCCGGGCTCCCAGGGTTCCTGGTCCAGCCTTTCAGATTCTGCCTCCACCGCTGCCACCTCACCCCTGTGGGTTGGCCTGGGGCCTGCACCTTCTACCATCAGATACGGAGGGCTCAGGCCAGACTGCCCTCCGTTTCCCAGGGCCTGCAGCCCATCCCCAGACCCCTCTTGCCCATCAAGGTACCAGCCTGCCCCAGGTGGAGGGAAGCAGTGCCTGAGCAATTCAAAAGCTATTCATATATAACAGACTAGCCATGATTGGTTTAATTGGTAGAGTTCCTGTGCTTTTGTTTTTTTTTTTTCCTTCAAGATTTTATTTATTTATTTGACAGAGCGAGACACAGCGAGAGAGGGAACACAAGCAGGGGGAGTGGGAGAGGGAGAAGCAGGCTTCCCACGGAGCAGGGAGCCCGATGCGGGGCTCGATCCCAGGACCCTGGGATCATGACCTGAGCCGAAGGCAGACGCTTAACGGCTGAGCCACCCAGGCGCCCCAAGTTCCTGTGCTTTTGTAAAAACAATATTACCTTCCTAATTCTTTAGGTACATATTAACATTAGTTTGCGAGGTCTGGGTCACTGGGCCTACTTCCTTCCTGACTACAGTTGATCTACAAATCTAAGAATTCCCTCCGTAAAGTTTAACTGAAGGACCAAAAAGCCAGGCCAAGGGTAGAAATGCCCCAAACCTTGGAATGTCAAAATAATAGAGGCAGAGAATCTCAGGTCTTACAACCTCAGCTGAGGACCCAAACATGAAGACAGTGGGTGGTGGGTG